GCACCACCACCACCTTCCTAGCATTTCAGCCAAACTTGATTCATTTTGTTCATACCTGCTAAAGAAGAACTAACATAAATATTATAATTTGAAAGTTGCTTAATATTATTTCTATTGGGATTATGATATTTGGTTAGCTTAATGTTCTAATATCATTAACCTATTATTGGATAAATTACTAAGGTGGAGCATAGGTCTTACATATTAGTTGCAATCCACTTCAAACGAGGACAAGTCAACAACTAGAGAAGTACGTTACGTCGTTATCTAGACAGGTAGATAAAACGCATATGGGTAGATAGTGGACACAAGTTAAGAATTAAACACACGAAAGTCGTACTTAGTTATTCTAATATTGTTAATTTTAGAATATTTTATTAAATAATAATAATAATAATAATAATAATAATAATAATGGATTGTATTAAACATTTACTGAAAGTTCTCCATTTGATTTTCAATAATAATAATAATAATAATGATGATGGATTATCTTAATTCTTGAGTTACGTTATGCACAACCTAGCAACAAATTATTGGGCACATCAATCCAAACTTTTTCTTTTCTTTCTTCCTCTTTTTTCTTGAAATCTCTTTTCTTTTTTGACAAACCACCCCTTAACTTATCCTCAAAATTTTCTTCCTCAAGATTCAATTGCCTTAATTGCATAGAAACATACTGCAATGATACTTCACTCTCAAGATCCAACACCCATCTTTTAATTTATTTCTTTCCATTCCTTTTTTTACAGTTAATTTTTTTTTTACATTTATTTTGATGTGAATTATATACTTAAATAATATCTATCTCGGCAGTAATATTTGTTCTATATTTTTTCAATACCTCTCTATCACCGGGATTCAATCATGTGACAACTCGAAAGTTACAAGTTCTATTGAATCGGTTGCACCACACCTCAAGTAAACTAGTATTTCACGAATAACTCAAGAATTAAACAAGCTATTTCAATATAACTAAGGATTAAATAAATTTGTCATTTTGTGTTAATTTAATTTGTAGGGATAAAATGTAACACCAGCTAGAAAGTGCCCCATCACCATATATATAGTCCATAGAGCCATAATCATGCTTGTGCTCATTATCATTGGAAACTTTAAGGAAAGCAATAAGGTGCTTTAAGATCATTAGTCTTTATAGGATTAAGACATTTCCTTAGGCCCATAAATTAGAAGAGTGGACTTAAAAGTAGTTCATCCATTGATCCAAGCCACATACAATTTCCAGTTTCTTGAGGTTTCCTTACACCATATCATGCCCCTTACTGTTCCAGACATTTTTAATCATTATATTAATTCAAACAAATTAAATTAAAGGTGTTGTCCTATTATTTTCTTGAAAATCTGGAAACAACATGTTGAATAGGAGAGATGGCCTAGACGAAAAAATATATGTATGTGACATTGTCACTCTAATATAATCCGTTATCAAATAAGACACGAATGTCTATATGCTCATAGTTCTTGTATGTTGCCAGTGACTCAACATATAAATCGGCATCCCGATAGATATGACTAATCCTATAGCTCCAATCCCTATCAATGAGTGTCCGAATGACATAGATATATAATGGATGAACCGAACCTAGCTTGCTGGATATTGGATAACAATATTTTTTGAGATTTATAGTGGAGTATATATATTATTAAAGCAAGTAGTACTGCAGCTGAGTTTAAAGACAAAAGTTGGTTCAGTTCAATCACCTCAAAATTTCTTTTTCTTTCTACTTATGACCAAAAGGAATCACAGTACAGTAACGTAAAAGAGAAGCACACAAAGCTATACAATCACTTCGGCATACGGTTTATTAGAGTTTATCCATTCTATATTTATATATATAATAATAATTATAAAAAAATATATATATATATATATGATGTGGATGGTCGGATGGACATTGTGAATCATTGGAGTTTGATTCCTACGATCCAACAACGTAACACTGCACCTTTGTGGCCGCAAACCCCAAGAAAACCTTAGACTCACCTTATCATCTAACAGTACAGACTTTCACCATTTCTTGCTCCTCATGTGCCCTTTTTCTTTACGAGTTTTACTACATGTATTTTCAAATTCTATTCCCTCATTTTTACTCTATGATGTGATAAGAAATAATGGAATATTTTCATCATGTGCATCCCAAAAAAAGTATTTATATCAAAGATTTGTGATCTTGGGAATACATGTAATATTTTCCTTTCTTTACTCTCTTATGAAGGCAAACAATAATTTCTTCACTCCTCCAAGCTGGATAGTAAGTTAAACTTGTTTTCCAAATAAGATACGTTCTTTTTTGAAAAAAAAAAAAAAAAAAAAGAAAAATGACACTTTTTTCTATGTTTATAGTACTTTTTTCTCCCTGAGTTATTCATGTATTCACATTTGTTCTCTCAGTTATGTTAAAAGTGGCGAGTTTTCCCCATTTTATGTTAGATTGACATTTTTATCCTTAAATTAAATATTTTATTTATTTTTCTTCTCCAATAAATTATTACTTGTACGTATGGATGACCACGGTTCAGTACCGAATCGAAATAGTAGGGACGATTTTGGTTACGATTCAGAACCGAAAAAAATAAAATAAAATAAAATAATTATTGAATTTAGACTATTTTAAAAATAAGATAGAATTTATAAAAATAAATAAATAAATAAATTTTGAACTGGCAGTTCAAATTAAAACTGGAGCCTTCCTAAAAAGTTCCTGTTCTGATTTATCATTTTCCATAACCGTGAACCAGAACCAAACCACAGTCATATCTACTTATATATAGAATTAGAATAAATGTGAAAATGATCAAACCCGCTATTGGTAAAAGATAAATCGATTCGGTTTCAATTTCAATTTTAAACCTCCGATTCAAAATTTATTTATTTATTTATTTTTGTAAATTATATTTCTTATTTTTAAAATAGTCTAAATTCAACATTTATTTTATTTTATTTCAATTTTGAATCGTAACCAAAATCGTCCCTACTGTTTCGGTTCGATTGTTACAATGTCCAGTTAGATTCGAATCGAACCGTACTCGTCCTTACATATAAGTAATAATTTGTTAGAGAAAAAAAATAAAATACTTATTTTTAAAGGTAAAAGTATCTATTTAATTAACAATAAAAGGGAGAAAACCCACCATTTTTAACATAACTGAGGAGGACAAATGTGGATGCATAAATAACTCAGAGGAAAAAAGTGTTATAAACATATAACTCAGAGGAAAAAATGTCATTTTTTCTTATTTTTTATTTCTTTAGATAGTAAATATGATATATGTACCGCATAGCATGCCAATATATTAGACAACTCATCTTTTTTCCTTTTTCTTTTATACAATTAGTGTTTCCTGCAAATATCAAATCAACTCGCGCACCATACTATATATGATCCACAATATGTTGTGTATTAAAGTCCATGACATAATAACCATCAATTATTTTACCAAAAGAATAATAATTACCATTAATTATAATACCACCCACTATCACTTAAAAAATTCAATCAATATAGAATAGATTCGGATGAATATCCGCAGACTAAATTGAAATTTATATCCCTACATACCACTAATAGTCTAATACTATTAATTGGCGCAAATTATGCTGTGCATCCGTATGCACCATGCATGGTGCATACAGATGCAAAAACGACGTCGTTTTGGTTAAAAAAACGCGCGTCCCACTTAAAAAAGAAATCAGGTTCGATTCCTGGCAATAACATTTTTATATATCCATAAATTCATAATTATATATCCACAGTAAATGAATGAACTAAATATCCACAATGAATGAACTAAATATCCATAAATTCATAACTATATATTCAGAAATTCATAACTATATATCCATAAATTCATAACTATATACCCACAGTGAATGAATGAAGTAAATATCTACAATGAATGAACTAAATATCCATAAATTCATAACTATATATCCAGAAATTCATAACTATATATCCACAATAATGTTATTGCCGAGAATCGAACCTGAATTTTATTTTTTTAAAGTGGAACGCGCGTTTTTAATCAAAACAACATCGTTTTGCATCGTATGCACCATGCATGGTGCATTCGGTTGCACATCATAACTATTGATTGGTCAAGCCAACTAACATAATTCACTACTCGCTAACACAATTTGTTACCCATCAATTGATATTACAAATGACACACATCCCATATATCCACTCCAAAGCCAACCCCACCACCAACTCATTTATGCAAATATACATATATTCTTAAGAGAAGTGGTCAATGGCTTCAGCTTTACTATAAGAAAAATGAGGTGATCATATATGACTATATTCCTTTCTTCACCTTTCAGCTAACAAGAAATAAACAATGCATCCACTTTTATAAGTGCAATTCATCATACTATATATATATATATATATAACCTCTCATTAGAATGCTTTAATTTGTTTTCAAAAAAAAAAAAAGAAAGAAAAAAGAATGCTTTAATTTAATAACCATTTGAAGATTGAATCACACATTATCAATTAAGTCTCCTACATGTCAATCACCAGGTCCATTCATTAATATTTCTCCTAATTTTAAGAATCTAACATTAAGTTAATAATTCAGATGGAACTATTACTTGATCAACTAGAGAACGACAGACTCCACTTTAATACATTATTTGTCAATTGTCATCCATCATAACGTCTAGGCACCCATGTATTTTTTATTTTTTTTTAAAAAAAATTATTTAAAATTTTTTAGTTATAGTTAATACTAAAATATTAAATATTAACTTAATAATTTAAGATTATTTTGTTCAAAAGGATATCGTTTTGGGTGCAATAACCCATTTAATAAAGAAGGGAACAATAGCTAATCAGCTGACTAGGCGACCTAGTCGGTGCCTAAGAGGCCTAGGCAACTTAGTTGGCCGCCTAGCCAGCCACCTAGACCACCGATTATGGTGATATGTTAGGCAGCTGGGCAGTGCCTTGGCGGAATTTTTGCAACACTGGCTATCATTAGTCCAATAATCTGAATTATTATCAAACAAAATATGAAAACAGACAACTAAGGGTATAGGATTTCTTGTTAGTGTTTGTCGTTATAAAATACATTTGTTCTAAATTGTAACCCCATCTTCACACGTATTACATAGTATAGTATGGTAGAGGAATATACTTTAATTCTATCCGATGATAGCATGAAAAAACAGAAGAAAGAACAGGAATATGTACGAATAATGAATTAATGATAGCCAGCTACGTATACTAGTTATGAAATGTTTGATTTTCTACGCTCTTAAAAGTCTTATCTCCCCATACAGAACTTCTTGATAACGTAAATACGGCAACTTTGTCTTTAAATCTATAGATAGATTCTTTGATTCCTTCGACCCTACAAAAAAACAAAAAGAATCTGCCAATCTCCACAAAGGAAAAGTAATGGGAAGGAGAGGGGAAAACGTACTAAAGAAAGTCTTGTTTGGTTATCCCTTTCTTTCAACCTCTAAAATTAAAAATAATTATCCATTAGCACGTCACCACCATCATTTCTTATAGTTTTTGAAAAGTTGTTCCCATTATCGATCATGGTGGGTGGGACTGCCTAATTTAGCAGGGAATCAAGCATGGAACAGCGGAGGAAGAAGTCCTATGTTATTAATTCATTGACTAGGTTGTCCATAACTGACCGGTTTATAAAAAGACCAATAGACCAGTCTCATGAGACTGTCAAACTTGTAACTTTGTGGTTATCAAATCAACAGTCTGACCTGGTCATCTTGTCTATTCTAAAAGTAAGATTAAAGCGGTGATTGAGATAAAACCGAGCCATATATTTTCTCGGGTTGCTCTCCTTTTGATGAGAATTGAATTGAGTAGAAGGGTGTTGCTTTTCTTTGGTTTTTGGTGACATAGGAGATTCTCTACACCCCTTGCAAGCAAAGAAGAAAGGAGAAAAATGGTTGAAAACAGAAATTTAGAAAAGAAAAAAGAAATTAAAGGTTTGATATGAAATGGGAAATAGAAGAAATTAGGAAGCTAGGGGCCAAAAGTCATGGAATATATTCCCCTCCCAACATAACTAGGCCTATGTTTCCAGATATGGTGTGAGAACAACCTTAGACAGCCTAACCACTTCAAATTATATAAGAAATACAGCTGCCACATTTTAAGGCAGAAGACCTGAAAATATCAACCTACCATCTCTCTCTCTCTCTCACTCTCTCTCTCTGCTCATTTACCCTTTCTAATATATATATGTTTCATGCCAGAGTTAATTTACCATTCTCATCATCATCATATCAGAAATGGCTCTTCAGGATCTGCAAAATAAGGACACTAACCTGGTTTTATCCAGTGATCCAAAGCCGAGACTGAAATGGACTCCGGAGCTTCACCAGCGATTCATTGATGCAGTCGCTCAGCTTGGAGGTGCCGAGAGTGAGTATTTCGCTCTTCTTATCATATCCTGCAATCAAACATTCATTGATTATTCATCGGAAACTCTAACAGTAGTGTACATCATGCAGAGGCAACCCCGAAATCATTGATGAGACTGATGAACATTCACGGCCTTACTCTGTATCATCTCAAGAGCCATTTGCAGGCATTGCTTCTTTTCCACCAAAGATCAAACTTTTGTTTACTAGTAAATCTTGTGAAAGAAAGAAATGAACTAATGAGTGCTCTTTTGTTGCAGAAATTTCGATTAGCGAAAAGCCAAGAATTGCAGTCGTACCATGATGACAACAAAGATGAAGGTAAGAAATCTTCGAGTTTGCACAATTGGGTGATATTGGAAGGAAGACTCAAAAGAACGAGGGATTTTATTGAAATGGCTTTACTTTGATGCAGATTACAAACAGTCTCAGAGTCAGGAAAGCCAGATACATTCAGATGGAGCTCAAAATCAGATGAATGAGTAAGATCGTTAGCGATATCTTTTACTATTTCACATATATTCTGATTGAATTAAAGCGAGGAAAGGCCTTTGTTGATAAAGTATTCTGCTATTTCAGAAGCATGCAGGTAGCTCAAGCATTACAGATGCAAATGGAAGTGCAGAGGAAACTACATGAACAAATTAAGGTAAAACTCGCAGAAACATATGATCCTGGCTTAGTATTGATCAGAGAATAGTTATACTAAAATCCATGTACCTTTCAGGTGCAGAGACATCTCCAGCTGAGAATCGAAGCTCAAGGAAAGTATCTCCAGTCTGTTTTGAAGAAGGCACAGGAAACACTTGGAAGATACGGTCCTTCAGCTCATGCAGAACTTGCAAAAGCCGAACTCTCCCAACTAGTATCAATGGTAGATACGGGGTGCCCTAGCTCTTCATTGTCAGTATTGACAGAAATCGGAGGATCAATTTCAAACTGCAGAGAACAACTGAGAACGGGCATTGGATGTTCACTTGACAGCTCCCTCACATCATCTGAGAGCTCGGGAAGGAAGGAAGATACACAAGAAAGGCATGAAAACAAAGAAAACGATGAGAGGAAAGAGAATTCAGTTGAACTTTCACTAATGGAAATGCATCCAGGCCAGCAAAACGGATCGAAAGATGACCCTAGTGGAAGGAAAAGAAGCCGAAGTATAATTTCCTTTGACAATTGTGTTGAAAAACCATCTGATAAAAGATTCCAGGCCAGTATTAATGATGAAAAGTTGAAAAAGTTTGGGTTCTTGGAAAATATCGATTTGAATAGCGAGTGTGTTGATGACTTTGATACTTAAACTGCAAGGGAGATGGGTATAATTAGTTTATGGAAACCCGATCTATTGAGAGATGCTTTCATAGTTCCTATAGTTAGTAATGTTGTTTATAAAATTATGTGTGTATTGATATGTGAATGAATAGCCAAAGAGCATTTTCCCCAAGGCTTATTACAAAAAGCATGTACTTGAATTCAAAGAATGTGCTCATACCTGTCAACATCAGAACATTCAGATTCCTCAGAGGACAATGAACACTTAACAAAACTGTTAATTAAAAGGTTCTCTGACACAAACCTCAAAATTCTGTTTGTCTTTAGAATAATCAGATATGGCAAACTTCATCAGAGGAATATAAGTACTTTTTTTATATACATTAAGTTTACGCCAGACTAATCCTAAGCTCCCAGGTTCCACCCCATACTGACACTGAAGCAAGACTTTAGGTTAATCGGTCGAACCAACTGAGCTAGTCCCGCGGGGCAAGAATATAAGTACTTAGTTATTGGGAATGTATTCTTTTCTTCAGATGCCATATTCCAACTCATCAAATTAGCTTGGAATCCCATTCTTTTATAGCATTTTTGAAAGGAAAAAAAATGCATGATTCTGAACCCCAATAAAGGCCAATGTAGCTCAGACAAATGAAGGAACAGAAGGACAAAATCAACAAAAATTTCAAGAATAAAACTGTAACTAAAGGCTCAAGACAAGCAGTGAAAACAAAGGAGGCTGAAAGTAAATAATTTTACCATGAAGACAGAAATTGTAATCATTTTCTTGATAATTCAACATGCTAATCCTCCATTCCTCCATTATCTGACATTGCTCTTGGCAGAGAATATGCAGTGAGTGGATACCAGCTGTTACTAAAAGAATCTGAAGACAATGAAAATAAAACATGAAAGTGATAAATATTGAAGAATTTTTGCAGGAAAGGAACAATTATCGCATACCAACTCTTGGACTTATTAAGCAGAGAAGAAAAGGCAGGAAGACGCAAGAAATTGAAGTAACCTTGCTACTTGAACTGTGATTTAGACATCAGAAAAAATGTTTCCTCAATTGATTAGGGTTCTGGAATCTGATTTGGGCTCCCCGCGAGTTCAAGTCACTCAAACATTTGCACAGTATTCATATCAAAAGATCATGGACAGGAAAGAGAGATTTGATGTGACTAGATCCGGTCAGAATCACTGCTTGGGTGTAATGTATATATTTATCAAGTCAAAATCATTAATCATTCGAGCAAGATCAACGGATGTCACCAAAAGTTCAAATTTTGATGCGACTATATCTAACATGATCAACAATCCACAAATTTGGTTTTGATTCAGCTGCATCATATTGTTGTTCATAATTTCATATAGCATTGCAAGCTCTTTGATAGCAATATGAAAAGATAAATTTTGAATGTTCAGGATTAAAACTCATAGAAGGTACAATTTTTTGTCTCTATTCACACGTAATTTTCAGTTCTTTCCAAAAACCCAGAATAAATTCTTAAGAACTCGTTTCTAAGCTTCAGCTTCATTTGAAAAAAATTGACTTATACCATCAACAGTAAAACCCAACCAAACCCTACTCTCACTCTTCTGCTTCACCTTATCTTCTTCAGGCATTTTATGTCTACAAACAGGGCAAGACCCATGAATCCCTAACCACTTCTCTATACACTCCTTGTGAAATCTATGCCGGCACGGCATCTCCTTCACCGTCTCACCAACCCCCCACTCCTCCAAGCAAATCGCACACTCACCTTCTTCTTCTTCTTCTTCACCAATCTCCACGCTCCGCAGGGCCTCAATGGAAGCCTTCGAAGCCGGCGGCAGACCATCTTTACCAAGTATGCCCGCCAGTAGAGAATCCAAGCTCGAGGAAGACGATCTATCACTGCCAGTGCCAGCTTCTACTACGAACACGCCTCCTGTCAATGGGCTTAGGAGGATGAGCCGATCACCTAACTCGGCGTTTGTGAAGCCCAGGATGAAGGGTGGGAAATCAGAGAAATCCATGTTTCCTGAAATTCTTGAGGGGTGAGAAACAGGGGACTCTGTTTCGGAGGCCATTTCCGTTGCGTCGGAGATATTTCAGACGATTAGAGAGAGGAGTGGGAACTGAAAAAGATCGTAATTACTGTAATGAGAAGTAGCTATGGGGAATGACGGTTGGGGATCTTAAGGAGAAGATGGAAGGTTTTAGAAGGATCTAGAATTTGCATGCACGAAATTTAGAAGGATCTAGACTCTAAAAATGAGGCTTTCTTTATCCACCTAAATAATTATGTTCCTATTTGGTAGAAAACTCGAATTAATTATCGAAATAATCATTAACTATAGTTTCAGGATCCGAATCAGAATTACCTTCACTTTCTTGATCAATAAGGAAAAAATAATTTTAATTTACGGATTTTCTTGGGTCAGGAAGATTAGATCTCAATGTGGAATTTGCACTGACTTCTACTTATCATTACTAGTTTATTTGTACCCAGCTACATGAAGGAACTCCCCTCGGCCAATGGTCACTCGACAGCAACTCTGTCCTTGCTTAGAGCATCCACACTAGTGGATAATATGGGGATAATGTAAGAAGAAATAACTTGGATAGGGTTATTAATTGATGTGGGGTGGAGTTAATGATAGAATTATTTATCCTGCAAATACAAAAATATCTCTTCCCAATGCAAGCCCTAAATCAGACAACATAGGTTGCTGTGCGCGTTTTGCGCACAGCAGCCATTCCACACGGGCGCGTGCAATGCACGCGCCCGTGGGCGCCTGACCCTTTTTTTTTTTTTATCTTTTTTATTTTTTTTAAAAATCAGTTTTGTTATTTTTTTTTTCTCACCTTCCCACCTTCTCTCTCCTAATCACTCTTACATTATCCCACAAATCTCCCCAACTAATGTTGATGCTCTTAGGCGATTGAAGTGAGGGCGAACCACTATCCCTTGAATGATCTAGGAGCTTTACAAATAATTTAGCGGGTGGCATATTTGCAACTATTCCCAGGAACTCTTAGGGAGGTTGTTAGTTAGTTACTTACTATTTGAGGAAGCTAGACTTTGATTGAATTTGCAGGATAATCTCCCAAATTATATAAACCCCACGTAAAACATCAATACTAATTAGGAATGACTACTCAATCCGCCCTCGACGGAGTAAATCTATCACCGTCTTAACGGGGGCGGGTTCAGAGAATTTTTTCGGAGAACGGAAATAGGAAGAATTTTTTCATCCTCACTAGGGACGGAGACAGGGAGGACATTTCCCGCCCCGACCACGACTCCGATCTCCGTCACCGATTCCCCGTATAATATTATATATATATATATATATATATATATATATATAAACTTGAAAACAAAACATTCAGACCATTTCCCTTAGTCATAGCAGTAGATAATAGCTAACGTGCTCAAATTTTGTAACTTATATGTTTAGTATTTAGTAATTATTTTTTATTAGTAATTATTAAAATCTATGTATTTTGGACTTTATTTAGTGATTCAAGACTTAACAATTTAAAATATTGATAGGGTTGAATGGTTCCTGATGACAATTTAAACCCTATCACTTTTTAGTTGCTAATTCTCGTTTCGCCTGACCATATATAATGAACAAGAAATGCTGAAATTATAACTAGTTTAATGCTTCTTAATGAACATGGAGAGTGCAATGCTAATGAACATCGTTAGCACCATTTAAGGACAAAAAGAATACAGAAGCTTTTAATATATGCGACCTAACTCAAAATTGGAACTCTATACTATGAGTTATAGACATAGGTTAACTGATCTTTCTGCTGTATAGCCCAGCCCCTGGCCATCTACACAAGTCAGCCAGACTCTGCCCTTCTCTACTCAAATTCCTCTATATAGATCCCTCACACAATTAAACGTCTAAAGCCTCACCTCATCAGCTCCCATTAACATATGCCTCCTTAGCCTAACAAATATTCCATATACCTAAACGCTCATAATTCTACAACAGCATGGAATATTTGAAGTACTCGGGGGAGTTGTGGACCTGCTAAACTTGTTTCCACCCAGGATTCTACTCATTTCATAGTTGATGCTCTTGTTTTGCTTTCCTTTATACCTATGTTCAATGTTATGGGTTAATCGCCACAGCATAAAGGTCTTTTTTTCTCTTGTAGCTTCTGCCATAAGCACAACATCTCTCTAGGATCTTGATAGTGGGCAACAACGTAACCATCCTTGCACCCTTCGTTAAAAATCCTCTCTTCATTTTCATACCTAACATCCAGACCTTTCTTCTTCAGTTCTGCAATCCAGATGCCCATAGCAACATCTTCCAGCTTAAACATCTGCATTTTAAGCATAGGATTTCAATTGAAATGATGCTACAAGACTTGGTGCTAATGGGAATAAAATGCCCCCTGGCATTAAGTGCATATCAGATTATCATTCCAAAAGTAGTTTCCAATTAATGTCAGTGAAATAAAAAGAGATTTAGAATGGCTGCTCCCCTCACCTTCAGATGGCCTTTTTTGTGCTTCTTGCTGATGGCTTTTGCTATATCACTTGACACAACATAACCAGGTCCATGTGCCCAAGGAGGGTAAGCATCATCAGGCCATTCCTTGAAAATAATAGACAAACACGTGCAAATGTAAGATGACCAGAAAAGGAGAGAATAAAAGAAAAAGCACAAGGACACAGTATTACCAACAGTGCTATGCTATACCCCAATCATGTCCAAAACCCACCAAGGATGTTCAGCTTAATAAAGATAATACGAGAAATTACTAGCAAATAGCCAAATAGTTAACCATTTCTCAGAATTAAAGAAATAAAAGCTTTGATATTAACAGTTCAACAGAAGTAAAGTAGGATAATATACAAATTCCAGAATGTTGATGTCATTTTCAAAATTGCTACAACCATTTAGATAGTAGTACTTTTCACTACCAATGACCAGTTGAAAACATATACTCCTTTACGATGGAAATAGCACTGGAATTGCCAACCATGCATTTGATCATCAAATAAAAGATAATGAGGTAGAGAATTACCTCAACACTAATGTACCACTTGCTATCAGGATTCCGATGAGGATGGGAGTCTGAGTTGATAAGGCCATAAAGCAACCCACGAGTCACACCAATCCTTTGTAAGGAAGCCAGCACTTCATCAACACGAACAAAAGCATCATCATCTGTCTTCATGACAAATTTTGCTTGAACGGTCTCCGTCTGAACAAATAAATTGGCATCAACAAGGGTATTGTAAAGCTCCTTGACTTGGGAAGGGACAGGATTTTACCCCAAACATGCATATGGCAATGGTCTTCCATGTGATTAGACTGTAGTAGTCAACAAATGGCACCAACTGAATGTCTCCATATGTCCTAGCCTCATTCCAGAGTTCCTCATTCACCATCTGGTTTTTATGCTACAGTAGATAATACAAAATATCTAATAAAATATTATGGCTTTGACTTGACAAATACCAGTATGTGACTTCCAGCCACATTGCAACACTACGTAGTATGCACAGAAAATAAAATAAACAAACAGTAAATGGCACTCCGTTTTGCTAACAATGACCTTTTTAGCAATTACTCTTTTTGTGTTACTACTTAGAATATTTAAGTGTTAAAGGAGAACAAAAAGTTCAAGAAAAGAAATACTCACCATTCCAACAAAAAAACGAACTGCTACTTGTCCAGACCGCACTGCATCATACTGCATCCACGTTCTTCGAACTGCCATTCTCCGTTTAAAATTGTTTGTAGTAGAAAACACACCAATAAAGAGATCCAGATGTTTTTTTGGAGAAAGTGGAGCTGCCTTTAGAGATTCTAAGTCAATCATATGATCAATATCTTCAGACGTGGGTAACCCACTTGCAACAACAGATATTAAATCAATATCTCCTGAAATCCTCTCTTCACTAACAAGCCATGGCTCCAGAGTCTGAAGAAATAAAAATTACAAGAATTTAATCAAGCATAACATTATATCAAACTGGTGGTGGCTCAAGTTTAAAAAGGCAAGTGAGGAATTACTTCACGAAAAGCAAATGACGTTATGTGTCTACCATCAACTGTCATTTGTATTCCTTCAGAGCCCACTCTCAGTGTTGCAACAGAGAGCTGCCCTTGCTTGAAAGGAAAATATTTTTTATGTTTAGATCCATCCTGAACCATTGGAGATTTTGTAGATACATTGATATGTTTGTCAGACGTGATTTTACCGATCATCTCATTGCATTGATCCAAGTCATCCACTGAACAAGATTCACAGAGGCATTCAGTATGACAATACGCATGTGATGAGCAAAAAGGACTTCAGGAATGTAAATGAAGAATACATATAGTAGATGCAAAGAGAAATTGAAAGGAAAGCTTAACAAGATGGAAGACGTTCATAATAAGTAATAACCTCTAGTAAGCGTCTCTATGAAACTCTACCTATATCTCCTCTATAATATCTAAAAAAAGAATTGACTTGTTTATACTAAAAAAGAAAATGCCCATAATAACCTCCTGTAAGCTAAGTGACACACTGAAGTTTACATTCTGTATAAGTTGATGAAATGGACAAAACAAACCAGTTACAAGGCTGAAAAAGAAATATACCGAATCCATGAAGAACATTCCATGATTACTCCCCTATTACATTTTTCCTAAAATTAAGACATTAAGGACTCACAAACATCCCTTTAACTAAAATATTCAAAGAAACCAATTGGTTTTAGAAGGTATTGATAGAGTGCAGAGATCTAAAATAAAAAAATCTTTGCAGATCAATGCCACAATGAAGATAAAGATCAATTTGAAGAAAATAGATCATATTTTGATAACACTGCATGTACCAAAACTAAATAGAGAAATGTAATTTGATATTAAGAAGAGAGATTTAAATATTTAAAAAAAAAAAATTCTTTGCAAGGTTGTGGTGGAAAGAAAGATCAATTTGAAGGAAATAAACTGTACTTAAAGAACACTGCATGTGCAAAAAGTAAATAGAATATTGTAATTCAGAAGAAAACTTATGAGCATTGATGAAAATATCAAAGAGGGAAGATCTATGCATCAAGAACTTCAAAGAAAAATAAAAGAACAATATTTGACCTTTATTATTTTTTTCAGGAGCAGGAGATGGACAGCGCTCCTCTTCACCCCAATCATGTGCTACGGTCCAGGTATTTTGAACAATTACAGGATCCTCAGTTACTTTATCACCGTGCAGCCTAACATTGTAATGCAAAATTATAGGAGGATCTGGTTCACCCGGAAGTGGTTCACCGGTTAAATCTATTCGAAAGTTACCAAGAAGACCCTTTGGAATGCCAATAAATGTGATTGAAGAACCCTGAGTGAGGCCACAAGGAAGCCGTAACTTAAATTCGTTACCAGCAAGTTCTGTGACATTTGTTTTGCGTAGAAAATGAGGACACTGTTTCTCCTTTCCTCTCTTATATGAACTGTCATTTGCATAAAGTTTTTCCATTTCCACTGAGCTCATAAGGTTATTCCATGCAGCACCAGCTTCCTTAACAGCCTCCAAAGCATTAGGTAAGACTTGATCCTGACTAATTAAGTTTTTCAATTGGTTCCATGTAAGCAAAGATTGTTCCTCTGCAGTTGAAAGATTTCTCTGATAAAAAAGATCAGCGACTAATGCGTCAGCAGAGATCACTTGAGAAGTATTTTTTGGACTGTTAGCAGCAGGTGGAGCCATAGCACTGATCCACTCTAGAGGATTTGTCGTATTAAAATATGGAGTGTTGGTGAAGTATGTTTCCTTGAAGGGGTTTCTCATTACATAATACCCAAGAAGTATGAACATCAACAAGGATGTAGTTAATACACCACCATACCATTTCTTCATTTCTGTTCAATACCTAGAAGCACTGAAGCAGCCAACCATTTAAATTCTAACTTAATAACTCCAGATTTGGTGGATCTGTAGAATCATTAGTACAAGAACGGCACCTGCAAAAGTAAGTCCTCATTTTAAGGTAAGTAGGTAACAACTAAAAACAAATGATATAGATCACAATTCACAAAGCCATGTATGAAGTGAAAACAATTAACAACATTTAGTTCTTATAATCTTATTTATCAGCTCAGATCAAAGAAAACATTATTAATTGTGAAGAAAAAATATTTTATTGTGACTAAGGCTTAGTTGAAATGAGTTAGCTTGATTCTTGAAGGAAAACATACCATGCAGTTGTGATTGTTTTAACCCTATACATCTGAATGGTGGAAATTAGGATTGGTTCTTACTCTGAATAAACAAAGAAATAGGGGATGCATTTTCAAACTCCTTAAAGGAACCTAATATGTCCTAAAAGTTACAAAGAGGGAATAAATTGGCAAACCTAACTTTTCATTTATTGGAGTATGCTATTTCCTCACATCAGTTACAATAAACTTAATGGCCTATTGCCCTATTCTATAAATAATAAATAAAAACTCAAAGTATTCAGTGTTTTTTTTTTCTTCTTTGTTTGAGAAGATTGAAGAGTTGCTTGTGATCAAAAGTCAATAAACGGCCATAAATGCTCTTTGGAGGTGAAAACAAACATGAAAACACTAAAAACAATATAGCTTGGCAAAAATAATTTGGTATATTGACATTTATAATTTCAAAAAACTATGTTAAATCTTTTAAATCCTGAAGGAACTACATAGTGCATATCACATAGTCAAGACAGACAATCAATATTAAACGTTTATTATTTGTTCTAGACATACGTAATATTTAATGCAATGCTAGACAAATTAAGAAGTATTCAGTGTTATCGGTGAAACTGAAGCACTAATAAGGACAAGAAAAACTCATAGTAGATCTGCACAAGGTGCAATAGCTGATTATTATGACTCTGCAACTGCAGATCTCAATCTGAATCTTCAACACAAAACCCAAAAAAAAAAAAAAAAAAAAAAAAAAAACACGCACACACAAACTAAAGAGAAAACTATATATCCCTAATCTCTCTTTAAATAGCTAAAATTAAACCAAAAACACACAGAGAGAGGGAGAGAGAGAGAGAGAGAGAGATTGCTACCTGCAAATCACTTATTTTAGCTCGTTGGATGATCAAACTAAACTCCTGTTCAATTAACCACAGTAAAAAAAAGTCTAAATAAGTCTGTTCTCAAATCAAAGAAGCAGACGTTGAAGTCTAAATTTTTAATTTTCAGCAGCACTGACCGGACTAGTCAAAAAAAAAAAAAAAAAATTGAAACAACAAAGCCATGATTACTTTCTCGACTGATGCGATTGTAGAGATCAAAAAGCACGAAAGAAAATTTCAACCAAAAAAAATGAAGCTAAATAACGCATATTATTGCATTAAATTCTGATTTTTTTTTTTTAAACACACATCTCCACTGCCTTCTCTTGTGTAAGTTGTGAAAACAGAACCTATTTCCGTGCAAACAGCAAAATGCAAGGAATATAAGGATGAGAATTCCATTTAAAATTTGAAAATCTCACTGAAATTCGCAGAAATGGAGAACTAAATGAAGTTATTATTACTGTTATTCATAATTTAAAAATTAAAAAAAAAAAAAAAAAAAAAAAAGTTGAATGTTGTATCCACAGTGAGAGGAAGAAACAGAATCTTACCTTTTTGCCAATGGGGAGGAAATTGTCCAGAGAGAGACAGAGAAGAGAGAGAGAAACAATATTCGTATTCAGATTGCTTGGACTGGACTTCAAGTCTGCGCTCAAATACCACTGAAGAAGTCGGGATTTGGAAATCTGGAAGGTTATAGCCTATAGAAAAGGAAACGCGCTTGTCAATGATTTGGGAGTGTTTTGACAAATTGACGGCACAGTAAAATTTATAATTACTTTTATTTTTATTTTTATTTTTTAGCTCGAAATTGTAAGAACAATATACAATATACTAATACAGTGGCTGCGTCAACGAGAGGCTCGGCTCGGGTATAATATTACATCATTTCTTATTTGCTCAAACATTTTATTATTTTGTTAATACAATTAATTTAGTCCCCTTTTTTCAACTCATTCATTCTATCTTAATTATCGAGCACTCTTTCCAAATATAACTCTTTTACCTACTAAAAGTAATGCAATGATATTCTAATATAAATATTTACATATCAAAAAAATTAAATTAAATTAATGTGAGAATGGGTGGTTAAGTGTGGGTAAGATATAATTTTTTTATCGGGAGGTTATGCGTTTGATTTTTGTTACTAAAAAATTACATAAATCATATGGTAACCAAGTCATCTTATTTGAGTATAATGAAAAAGAAGTTAGATTTCATTGAGCGATGAGTAAAAAACACAAATCTTGTTTGAGTAAACAAAGTTGTCTTAATTAAGTCTAGATGTTATTCAATTCAAACACGTGTTATCTTGTCTATATACATGTGTATTGCTTCAAAATAATGAAAACGACAGGCTTTTACGCAAGTTTCTATATAATTTGTCATTATTACAAAGAAAATAATAATATTAATCTTGTTTCAAGAGTTTACAAATTACTTAAAATCTCACTTTTAAGTTTAAGTTAGGTGGCATCTGGCTATATTGCGATACACATCAAATTTAGTCCAAATCCCGCCACATTATATGAGATTTTGCTCATTTTTAATACTCGATATGTACTAATTTATATTCATGTATTATCAGTATAAAATGTTCATTCCAGCTATAATATTAATTTGATATATTTAATCTGTATATGTTAGGAGGGGCATGCATATGGTTCATATACTAAATTGGAATCAAAATTAAAACCAAATACTCAATAGTTAAATTATATTTTAACAATAGTAATTTGATTGTTTGATAATAATAAATTAGAATCAAAAGCATTATGAAAATTAAGTTTGGATATATACAACCATGGAATTGAAATTAAACTTTTAAAACTTACTTTATATATATACAATTAAAATTAGCATCAATGGTATTTTCTTTTAGATTAAAACAAAAAAGGTAAAAGTTTCAAACAAATATGCAAACAGAAATACAAAACGTCTTTTTACTCTAAATTTCTCTATATAGAATTTTAAATAATTGTATATTTTAAGAAATATGTATGTATAAGCTAAATTTTAAATGGATGCTATATACAAAAGCGCATCCAACCAAAATTATTGTAAGTATAAACACTTTTATAATGTTTCAATTAAATACAATGACAAATTTTGGAATTTAGTTTTAAATAATATTGACATGCATATATGTATACACACACAAAAACAAACAAACAAACAAGATTACATTATTTTTCTTTGATCACAAAAATTAATAAATAGATTGTAATAGTATCAGTACTAAAGTTACCTTACCCCAGCTAACAAGTATACCAATTACCAACTCCATTGCCCTCATGATAAAATAAAATAAAAAACAGTGGGCCTGATTTTGTTAATAAAATAAAAGTAAAGGACAAAAATAAAAATAGTGCATGTGAATTTTAATTTAGTTCAGACTTGTTCCACGGGTTTTTATTCTTAAACTGAAAGCAACACTACGTTTTCGCTATTGCATACATTTGGATGCTTCAAAACTAAAGGTACAAATTTTGTTTTGTTTTTTTTTTTGAAACAGTAAGTATGACAGCTTATGCTAGACTAATCTTAAACATCTAAAATTCTATTTAAAGAATCGTTTAAGAAAGTAAATTAGAAGTAGACCGATCGGTCTTCAAGTTCTCATTTTGCTGCGCACAAGATCAGGAAGTTTCACCCCTACTTGGCACAATGGATTTTCATTTCATCTGATCTGGTCGGTCAAGGTTTCCAAATGACTTCCTAAATGTCAAGTGAGATTTGAATCCCCACATTATTGCTAGAACAAATTTTTAAGGTGATCGGTCAAATCAACTGAGTTAGCTCTAAGGGCATCCCCATTAGTTACTTTATCATAGTTTTTGAGGGTTTTTTTACCACCTTGAAAGAGAGAGATGATGTTAGGATGTCATGTAAATGAGGGGTTTTTGTAGCTGCCTCAAGTAATATAGGGCTTGTTTAGCAATCAGCGGTTAGCGATTAGCGGTAGCGGACTGTATTAGCGGTTAACGAATAGCGGGTTGTGTTAGCAGGTTTGACCAGTGGATTGTATCAGCAGTTAGTAAAAAGATGTTTGGTAAAATCAGCGATTTAGATTAGCGGTTAACATGTAAAATGACCAAAAGGATATAATAATAATAATAATAATAATAATAATAACAATAATAATAATAATAATAATAATAATAATAATAACAAAAAAAAAAAGATGTGGAATTAGATTCCACATCGAAAAGTTAAATAAAAAAAAAAAATGGGCGTTGGCTCCCTTATAAAAGGGAGCTCAACGCCCCTTCAATTTTAATGTTTCACCTTGCCCATCCCACATCGGATGGGCAAGGATAGTGAAGCCTGAGGCTTCTTTATTTAAAGAAGCATCAAGCTTCACAACGAACAAAGTAATTTTTTTATTTTTTTTAATAATAATTGGAGGGCATTTTGGGGAAGGTAATTACCTTCCCCAAAACGCCAACCCAACACGCTGCTAAATGCAGCGTGTTGAAGTTCAGCGGTTTGGAGCAATCCGTTGCTCCAAACCGTTGTTAACCAAACAGTGACTTTGGCGTTTTGACCATGGTCAAAATGCCAAAGTCAGCGAATCCGTCAAATTTTTAGCGGATCCGCTACATGCCCATAATTTTGTGCCATCTGTTATGCAAATTAGAAAATCAGCTTTTGCAGAGAGTTTGTATGTCCTGCAAATTAGAAAATCAACTTTTCTTTTATCTTTTTCTTTTTTCTCTTTTTACTATTTTTTTTCTTAATCATTCTTACAAAAACTCCTCAAAAAATCATTAAAAAAAAACACCCCAATATTAAAGATGCTCTAAGAGACTAAAAATACTACTTTTGCAATAGAGCTTTTTTTTTTTTCCTCTTAATTTGAAGTAATAAAAAAGTTTATACTTCACCAACGAAATGTTAATATAATATTATTAATTTCCGATACACCAACTGTACATAATATGCTGAAAATATTCACTTTTCATAGTACAAAATATGGAGTAATATTTTAATTGTTTCGTGTTTTATGATGGCCTCGTGGGACTAAAACGCCTCGGAGGTTCCGTAAACATATAACTAAATTGCGTATTCAGCAGTCAAACATGCGACCGCCCTACCCGGTAACAAGCACTTTATTGTTTACAATTTTGTAAAGCAATCTATACGGTTCGGTTGCAAATTTGACCGGCGGGATGGCGTGGCCGGTGGTGGAGAGAAACGTTTCAACCATATTTATTCTTTAAATAACAGCAAGCTCTAATTTATGTGTCGGTAGGTGGTTTCATAATTCTTATATATAATATAATGCCGTAGAAATTAATGAAATATTTCCAACTAAGATTATTGATTGCATGTTAATTAAAATTAATATATATATTTCAAACTGTGACAATTAGACAACGAATGTTGAGTTCCTTCGTTTTGGTTTACAAATCTTTGAAGATCGACTAAATAGTTTCATTTTTAATAGCCGATGTTATTAGATTAATTTTGTCACATTTTATGTAACTTTTTATTTTAATATTTTATGAGTATATGAAAAAAAAAAAAAATTAGCAACAAAAAGGTAGATAGTGATTTCTTTAGAGTGTGGATACAGTTATGGTCAGTTGGTTTGATTTTTCTTTTTAAGAGTTAATTTCATTTTTAATCTTAGATGTATAGGTGACATTTCATTTTAAGTCTTTTTTTTTTATTAGACCAATTCATTTTTTATCCTAGTATTATTGAGGCATAACTATTTTTTATCTTTTATGAACAAAATTATTTAAATATCGTTAAATACAATGGCATTTCAGTGTTCGATTATAGATTTTTTCAAAAAAATAAACATAAAAAATATAGCGGTTCAATATACTTTGTATACAAAAAAAAAAAAAAAAAAGATTGAAATGTTTTTGTATTTAACGACATTTCAACGATTTTGTTGATGAAGGACTAAAAATGATCATGTCACAATAATATTATGACCAAATGAGGATATTCTAATAAAAAAAAAAAAAACTAAAAGTGGATTGTCACCTTATAGGACAAAAAATAAAATTAACTCCCTCTTTAATTACTATTTCTCATAATAATGTTGTTTGATTTTTTCAATAAAGTTGATATAATCATTTTGAATCTTTGATCAACAAATAAAAGAGATACAATAAATAGCAAGGGTTATTGAATTTTTGTGGAAATACTTCATATTCATAGGGATTTTGCTGGGAATTGTTGTGTAGCGCGTAAAGTTGTATGGAATTTATTAGCAAATTAATTAGTGTGGGGTTAATTCCTCTGCCAAAAATTGAATTCTCATCTTCAAGAGGATCCACACTCCGACCCAATAAAACATTAGTATAGGGTATTATTTACCCCAAAATGCTGAATTCTCAACCCTAAGAGTCCCCCATATTTCGACCCAACAGAACATGTGAAAAGATGTAAATCACGGTGACTCAATGGGTTAGTAGGCATGAGATTAATTACTTGTACCATGGACTGTCTCCCAGACTCTTCTGAAGTTTATGAACACATAAGCACCAATAATATCTTTATGAAAAAAATTTAAAGAGCTAACTTGAGAAATGATACATTGACTATTAATACTTACCAATTTTTATAAATTTTCATTCACGACTTTTAATTTGATCATAAATGATTCTTTGACTATTAATTTTGTTTCAAATTTAATCGTTTAGTTAAATATCAATTTAATAAGGAATAATGGTCAAATAGGTCACTAAACTGTACACCAAACTACAATTAGGTCATCGAACTAAAAAACAATGCAATTGGGTCCCTAAGAGCATCCACATTAGTGGATAATATGGAGTTATTTCAGTTTGCTTTCTTCCCATCTAGAGTTAATAGCTAATGTGGAGTGGAGATAATTCAAAAATAATAGTCCTGCAAATGAAGACATAATGTCAGAAATTAAAAAAAGAAAAAAAAAAGTAAGGCTGTGCGCGTTTCGCGCATAGCCTTGGGCAAAAGCCGGGCGCGTGCAGGCGCGCCTGACAGCATTATTATTATTATTTTTTTTTTTTTTTAAATCACTTTCTCTTTTTTTTTTTTTTTTTTTTCTCTCCCCTCCCCCATTCTCTTTCCTAATCACTCTTACATTATCCCCACATTCTTCCCAACTAATGTGGATGCTCTAAACAACACAAAATCATGCAATTAGGTACAAAATGATCTGTTTAGCGGTTACCGATTTTAAAAATAATTTAAAATAAAATTTCTATATCCATAATTTCTATACCGTAGATTCATAATTCCTATACTATAGATCCATAATTTCTATATTATATATTCATAAAATTTATACTTTAGATTCATAAAATTTATACTTTAGATTCATAATTTCTAAACCGTAGATTTATACTTTAAATACTGTAGATTCATAATTTTTATACAATAGATTCATAATTTCTATACTGCAGATTCATAATATATGTACTGTAGATTCATAATTTCTATACTGTAAATTCATAATTACTAAAGTGTATAGTTATCAAATTATGAACATATAGTTATCTGATTTGTGAAAACAGAGTTCAATAATTGAAATCTAAAGTATAAAAATTATGAATCTACAGTATAAAAATTATGGATATAGAACCGTGCCCATCTTACAAGGTGGGCACGTGCTCATAGCATAATTTGCCAATGGTTGACAAATCGACCGCCAATTATATAAACGTACAAACATTGGAACATATATACAACAGATATATATATATATATATATATATATATATATATATATATATTTTGAAATACGACAAATATTATTATATTTCTTAAGTTCTTAGCATATCCTATGGATGTTATAGTAACTTTTCTAGTTCTAGTTCTAGTGATAAGCGGCAATATAGCATTTGTTTTACTTTATTTATTTTGAGTACTACTGACTATATTACAATGTAATATCTGTTTATAGCTACTTTCTCAATTTACTAAGCACAAATAGTCAATACCGTTTTTCATTGAGGCTCAAACTCATAACCTTCTATTTGGGGGAGTCACTCCGTGTCACTAGACTACAAAGTCATTGACACTTTCTTTAATTATCTATTATTTATTGTTTGCATGCTTCTTCATTATTTATTTATTTATAGTTGATTTATTTTCTTGCAAATGCTTTTATTTTTTATTTTTAATTATAAGTTTAAACTCCAAATGTAAGGGTACTAACTATTATTATTATTATTATTATTATCATTATCATTATCATTATCATTATCATTATCATTATTATTATTATTATTATTATAGCGATAAGTGAGGAAAGTAAATCACAATATATGCCTCAACTAATCTACATACCTCAAGCATTCAAAAAAAAAAAATCTACATACCTCAAATGCTTTATTATAAACTATAGGAATAAGGGTCAAATAAGTCACTCAACTGTACATCAAACTGCAATTAGACCATCAAACTTTTAAAAAAAATACAATAAGGTCCCTGAACAACACAAAATCATGCAATTATACCCAAAATAACCTTTACCTGAAAGGGCGATTACCAATTTTTAAAATAATTAATTAAAAAAAAACCTAAACTGTTTGCGGTTTCGTCTCGAGCCATGGAGATGAAGAAGTAGTTTAGGTTTTTTTTTTTTTTTTTTTTTTTTTTTTTAATTAATTAGTTATTTTATTTTAAAAAAAATTTAGAAATCATTTTAAAAATCAGTAATCGCTACATCACCTTACTTTAAGGTAAATAGGTCATTTTGAGTCTAATTGTATGATTTTGTGTTGTTTAAAAATCCAATTGCATTTTTTTGAGTATAATAACCTAATTGCAATTTAGTGTGCAGTTGAGTGGCCGCTTATTTGACCTTTTTCCTAAATTATAAGATTGGCACTATCCTAGGAAGGATGGAGCTTTCAATTTGGCCCGGCACTCCTAAGTCATTTTTTTTACTCTGTTTGGCAGAGCTTATAGCTTATGTTAAGCTACTAATAAACTAAGTTCTGTTTGGTAATGTTCTCAAAATATGCTCATAGCTTAAAATAAGAGCTTATTTTGGATTGCTATCTTAGGTAGCGTTTCAAAATAAGTTCATAGCTTCCTAACTTTTTTCCATCTTTATCCTTATTATTTTAAAGAAATGACATAATTTACCATTCCCAATTAAAACCCTTTTATCTTCTCTTTTATCCGCAACTTTCACCGCAAATATTAATAATAATGTTGTTGTTGTTGTTGTTGTTGTTGTGAGGTGACTTGTAAGTTGTTGTTGTTGTGAGGTGACTTGTAAGTTGTTGTTGTTGTTGTTGTTGTTATTGTGAGGTGACTTGTAATTTTAGGCACGGCAATATAACTAAGGGAAAATCAATTAGAAAATTGAACTTTTATAAAAAAAATCAATTAAATATTAAAATCTCAAAAGTTTCAATTAAACTCATAAACATATTATTTTGGAGCATTGAAACTTAGAAATCGGTTGGTGACCTATAAATAAATGTCACTAAAGTTTCGGCGAACTTCCGAACAAAATCCAACAAAAAATACCAATGCATTCACCTTCTCCTTTTCCGGCGAAGGGGAAGGCGCGACACTAGTTTAGTCGCCTTCTTCTTTGCACCTTCCCCTTCGCCGGAGAAGGCATACTAGTTGGTCTGCCTTCTCTTTCGCCGGAGAAGATGAATGCGACAGCAACCCGGTTGTATGTGTTTTTCGCAAGATTTTGATCGAAAGATCAGTCAGAAGTTCACCGGGACCTTAGTGACCCGCAGGTTACCGACAGGTTTCTGGGTTTCAATGCTCCAAAATATTATGTTTATGAATTTAATTGCAACTTTTGAAAATTTAAACACATACTTGATTTTTTGATGAAAGTTTAGGGATCTATTTGACCATTTTTCTTAATCCCTATACCTAACTTTTGAAAGTGATAGTTTGATAGAGTACCATAGAGATAATTAATTATGCATTTGATTTGTAAAATAGACAAAAAAAAATATCGTTGTGCCCCTCTTCACGAAACTTTTAATATTTAATACGGAGTAGTTATATAAGATTGCAATTAAATTTTTGAGCAAGAACTCTACTTGATTCATATTTTCATATTTTTTAGATTTATTATTTTATTGATTCAAATTTGACAATTATTTATAGATAAATCATAAATGCACAATTTATCTATGGAGTATAAAAAAAAGGTGGAGGTAGGCCTACTGCACGACTGTAGTACAGTAGTATGGACCAAATGCTACACCAAAGTCAACATCAACAATTTAAACTATATCGTACGAAAACAAGAAATAAAAATATAAAATACAAAAATATAAAAACTAGTGTACTCGCAAAGGGTTACTCTAATATAATTTATTATAAATATTATATTATAACTAAATAAATAATATTGAAGGTGAACATATATACATCTTTTTTTTTCTTTTTTTTTTTATTGGTCATACTTAGAGGAATTTGTTAGTAAATAAATAGTGTTAACTAGGATAGAAACTTACAATCATTACCTAATGGTGTGTTTTGGTTAAATCCAATCATGTGTAATAGCAAGAGAGAAATTGTTTCATTTCTTCCTCTTTTTTTTTCTTTTTTTTTTTAATTTTTTTGTTATTATTTTTTAGTGGCAATGGTTGTTTGAAGCAACTAATGTTTTACCCAGATGTTAACATGTACACTATAATAATATAGTTAAACCTCCATATATTTTGTCAGTTATGTATTTTTTATAGCATACAAAATTAAAATTACAATTTTGAATTGTTAATATTATCTCTAATAATGTACATATTCAGATAAATTTAAAAATGATATTTACATAATTAAATTGATTTATTCATAAATGTATAATAGTAACTTAATATCATACAATTATGACTTAATGTAATTGAATGTTGATTAAAATAATTGAAATAAAATATGAATATGAATATTATTTTTAAAAAAAAATCTCAATTGGAATTTATTAATGATATTTTTTATATATTAATTTAAGAGTTAATTCTATTTTTGTCATAAATTTATAAGTGTTATCTTACTTTTAATTTTTTTTTGTCATATTAAAGAAATAACATATATATTAATACTTAATAATTACTGTATACTTATATATTATATACTTGACATATTAAAAAAAAGAATTATATCGTAAATACAGAACAACAAATAAAGTTTTAAACCAAATACTATAAACTCCAAATAGTTGATTAGATCTGAAATATTGGTATAAAATTGTGTACAATTAAACGTGCCTAATATTTTAGAGGCATAGCAATACTTATTGGTTTTTTTTTTTTTTCAAACATTGTGAAGGTAGAGAAGTCAAGAATCCCTAGGAAGGGCGAGAAAATTAAACCAAACATTACACGCGGCTGCAGCCTACAAGCTACAACTACCTAATAAGGAATTTTTAGATTATTAAGAAAAGTCGTTGCAGCCTCGTATCATAGGATTCATAGGTTTTTTTTTAGGTCATCTCAGTTTTGTTTGATTAATTTTAAGTCTACACTTCTTTATTCTTAATTTTTTTTTTTTTTGAAAATTCTTTATTCTTAATTAATTGCGTTTAAAAGATTCAAATTATACCTAAAAGTGAGATTCCGCAAATTATGCGGTGCAACCGTATGCACCATGCGCATGGTGCATACGATGCAAAACGATGTTGTTTTGGTTAAAAAATGCGCGTCCCACTTAAAAAAAGAAATCAGGTTCGAATTCCGGCAATAGCATTTTTATATATTCATAAATTCATAATTATATATTCAGAAATTCATAACTATATATCCACAATAATGCTATTGCTAAGAATCGAATCTGAATTTTTTTTTTTAAGTGGGACGCACGTTTTTAGTCAAAACGACATCGTTTTGCATTGTATGCACCATGCGCAGCATAACTATTGGTGAGATTCAGACTCTATTGATAATATGCTGGTATTGGCCCATTTATGAATTCCACAAGATGGGCTCAATAATTTTTGCCAATTAAGTTTCGGATCAGTTGTTTATATACGGCCCATATTAAATTAAGTCTAGTCCAAAAATAATAGAGTTAATATCCAAAATCGTCCTCGACTATCGTGGTTTTTCTCAATTTCGTCCTAAACGACTTTGGTGACCTAACATCGTCCCAGACTTTTGTGTTTCGCTCAATTTAGTCCCAGACTTTTGTGTTTTTGCTCAATTTAGTCCCTCATTTGTTATTCTGTCCATTTGGTGTTAAATAAATAGACAATTCAGTAATTTTAATATTGGCATCTCTTTACTCATAGACATGTGAACTGCGAAATCCTTTTTTTTTTTTTTACGAATTACTTCCAGAATTACTCCTAAAACTGCGAATATAAAATTTGATTTGCAGGTCCGGGAGTAATTCTGGGTGTAATTCGTACAAGAAAGAGTGATTTCGCACTTTACAAGTTGAAAGTAAAGAGAGATCAATATTGACATTATTGAATTGTTCTTTTATTTAACACCAATTTGACGGAATAACAAATGGAGGACTAAATTGAGCAAAACACAAAAGTCTGGGACGATATTAGGTCACCAAAGTCATTTAGGACGAAATTGAGAAAAATCACTATAGTCGATGACGATTTTGGGTATTAACTCAAAAATAATGTATCTTTCAAAGCCACATATCATATATATACAAAATCTAAAACCACAAATTACATCCTCGATTAGAGTCCATGGCGACGTTATTTTTGTTCAGAAACTCAAAGGTTAATATTCATAAACTAGAATATACATGTTTAGAAATTCACATTTTATCTTAATGTTCAGAACATCACTTACAATACAAATTTTTTTTTCCCTGTGATAAAAACATACATCCTTGTAAGAGAAGAAGTGTTTTCATGATATGCTATATATGCTGGGTTGCAGTGTTTAATAGTAGTAGAAAAAAGAAATACAAATGAAAGGAGTTTCAATTCCCAGAATACTAGAAAGATGGGAACTTAATAGTGGAAGCACAACTTGCTGTAGGGAAAACAGGGCATTTGATCAAGTTAGAACCTGAAGGTCCGACACAGAAGTAAACCTGGTACAGCTGGCTGTTGCCACCTGCATCACTGTTGCATTCTATCCCAGGAGCATATCCTACAGCGTTTTCGATTGCGGTTTGTATGCTGCTCAAGTTGTAAGAATTCCCATCCGCCTGGATTCCTGTAATATATATATTCACATCTCGATCAGGTTTCAGTTCTTGTGGAATGATATGATTCTTGAAAATTTTAATTATTCATATATACCTGCACTCTCGAGAATCTGGAGCAGAAGAATTTGATTCTTGAGGTTTAAAGTGGTCTCAAAATAAGTGTGTTGGTCGAGTTCAGACTCCGAACATGTCCCATGTTTTTCCCATTCATGCGACCAGAAAGACGACCCGTTGTTACTTGGACAAGCCAGGGTCGGCCAATCTTGTTGCATTCTGCTTATCAAGTCTGAAATCTACACATCCAGAAAATCCAAACCCGAATTCGAATCAGAATAAATATGCAGTTTAACTATCAGCTTAAACTTTTAGTTGAGACAAAACGTTACCTTGGATTCATCATAGGGGTTGCTGGGATCACAGTTTGATGGATAAGTGCCATCATTGTTGTTAGGCCATAATCCATGGATGCCAAAATCTGAGGCTGGCTTCCCTGTAGTAGGATAGCAACAGCTGCTATCCTTAGTGTCACAATATGATCCTGGCCACTGCATATATAAACAAACACAAAAGTTATAACAAAACCATAATTATTTAACATAGTAGATTGTTAATGAAGATGTAGATAACAATTGAATATTAATACGGTATCGCCTAAATTTAAACCAAGTAGTGGTCAGGTACTTAGGTAGACGTATAGTACCTGTTGAACGAAGTAGAAGAAATCGTAACCTTGAGCAAGGTAAAAAACTAAAAAGCATTGAGTTATAAACAAGAATTTTAGGAAAACTGAAGTTTGAGATCTCATCAGTGCCATGTTTTACTATATTAATGTTATTGCTAAGCAAGTAAGCTTGTAATGGTGTACTAATAACATTGGTTATGAATGTATTTATAGGCCAAAAATGACCAAAGATGTGAACAGGCAAACAGTATTTAATTAGCTAGTTAGTGTGAAATTCAGGTTTTTAGTTTGAGTGTCTATGTTTCCATGTGGGTGCAAAAGGTCAAATACATTAATAAATTCACTCAAATTCAGGATATTCCCACAATATTCCATCAATTCCATGTGATCGAGTTAATTAGTAAGCCATTTTTTTTAAAAAAAAAAGTATTATTTATATTTTTCTAACACTTAATGTGGAAGGTTGTATTGCATGATAATTCTGAGTAATGTGAAATGGCATATTATATTTTGATAATGTTAGCTACCCATTTTTTTTATTATTATTAAATTTATATAAGTACAATTTAATCAAATTAAATTCTTGCACAAAATAGTATAATACTATCTTATATGACTTAACTGGTTAAATTGTAATAGATCCAACTAATTCATAATTAAGATAACGAGATTATATTAATACAGTGATTTGGGTGAAATTAATAAATAGCATTAATTATAGTAAAGTGATGTGAACATGAGAAATAAATGATAGATGAGTAGAGTTAGGAATATAATGAGACAGGTGAGATATGGCAATAATTTATATGCTTCTAAAGCATGCATATATATCTAATTGTCATGAGAAATGTGGTGTTATGTTCACACATCTCTTGCGACATACATATACGCGAATCATGTGCAGTGGTCCAACGTGTTTCTAAGCCAGTAATTATGCTGTGGACGGCAAACACTATAGTGTATCTAAACACACTGTCTCACGGATTATTTTTATTATATTATCAAATGAAACTGCAATTGAATTGAAATGAAACTGTAGTTGTATTGAAATGAAACTACAGTGTATACAAAATGAAACTGAATAATAATTTCACATATTTGAGTTTATATTGTCCAGTGAAATTGTAGTTATTACAACAAAATGATACTATAAGTGAGCTGATTGCGCGACTCGTGATTTACTTCTACAATGACTCTAGGGGCGGGGTCTTGTAGGCTTATAGTTAGTCCGGCGAAACGGGAATCACCTAAGTATATATAAAAAAAAGTGACATGTAACACAAATATCATAATTAACATTATAATTTCATCCTACTACATATTTACTTGAATACAAAATCACCCTACTAATACTATACATATACAAAGGTTATATTCATGATTCTTAGATTTCAACAAGATCCTAGTTTTGATTATTTACAAGGATACTCCATTGCCACAACCCATAATCATAATAATGTTAAGGTTCCTATGCTCCCATGTGATGCAAAGATTTGAAAGGTTAATAGTATTACCTTTTGATAAGCAAGGAGAAACTGCACAAGACAATGTTGGAATATAATGCCTTTCTTGGATCAAATTATTACCAGTAATCCCCACAAGAACATTTCCCATCTCTAAAATGATGAAACCTCTGCACATCTCTCACAATAATATGCCTTTCAGAGAGCAGGGATATGAGCTTAACAGCTGAATGGCAATCCCTACAAATTCTAAGGTTTTTAACGACTCGGATTGTTTTTCCTGGAGGAGTGTTAAGGAGTCCAAAAGTTACAGCCAATTTTTCACTGTGGTACCTCAGGGTAGCTTCTTTCTCATCATCTTCCATGGCATGATGAAATACTAGGGAAGTGTCTGGAGTATATCCAACCTCCTTCAGTTTCACCATTAACTTGTCGACTGCTCGGTGAAGCCCTTTATAACCTATTTGTGACCCATCTCCCGAAAAGAATTCATACACCACATTGTTCACTTCAATTGAACTACAACCAGGCACCTTTCTCACCCCTTTTTCTTTCATCAATTTTCTGATATGAATCGCGTCTTCCCATTCCCCTGCTCGAGCACACATGTTAGCAAAGATCACGTAGTCTCCACTTTGAGAATCATCCATTTCAAAGATTCGCTCGAGTACTAGCTTCCCCAGTTTCACATTACCATGACTGTTGCAAGCAGCTAGCAATGTCCTCCAAAGCAAAGGCGTGGGCTTGATTGGCAATTCTTTTAGAAACTCGAAAGCATCATTTAAGCATCCAGCTCGACCTAGTAAATCCAACATGCATCCGTAGTGCTTGATTCCTGGAACAATCCTGCACTTCTCTTTCATGACATTGAAGAATCTGAAACCCTCTTCAACCTTTCCAGCATGGTTGCAGGCATATAATAGAGCCAAAAACGTAAGTCCATCAGGTTGAACTCGAGCCTCTTGCATCTCTCCAAACATGGATATTGCATTGTGAACCTGGCCATGAATAGCATAACCCATTATCATTGTTGACCATGCTTGAGTGTCCCTATAATCCATGCTCCTGAAAACAGAAACCGCATCCTCCAAACTCCCACATTTTGTATACATATCAATAAGTGAAGTGTTCACCTTCACAGATTGATCAAAACCGTTCTTCTTCACATACTCGTGTATCCACTTACCAAATTCCAGTGCTCCAAGTAAAGCACAAGAAGAAAGAACACCAAGAATGGTAACCTCAGTAGGCTCAATTTCCTTCTCCTGCAATTCGCGAAACAACAACAAAGCCTGAGTTGGTTCACTACTTCTTACATAACCCAATATCATCGCATTATATGTCACCACACAGGGTTCTAGTATCCTATCAAATATACAACGGGCTGAATCAACATTGCCACACTCAATGTACATATTCATTAGTGCAGGGCAAACATACATATCGTAGTTGAGCCCATATTTTACCACTAGGCAATGCAATTGCTTCCCTGCTACCAAAGCTTCGGCATTCGCACATGCCTTAAGTAGGGAAGGGAAGGTGTACAAATCCGGGACAATCCCAGAACTTATGATTCTTGAGAACAGCACTAGCGCCTGTAATGGGGTATCACTGCGGGAATAGCCACGGGCCATGTAGTTGAAGAGAACTATATCTGGGTGAGGCATTCTGTCGAACAGGAGTTGGGCATGATGCATGGAGGCCGGCGTGGGGCTAACTGTGCAGGAACTTATGAGCTTGTTGATGATAAAAATGTCATCTTGGGAGCGGGCTTTGATTGAATAGGCTTGAATTTGCATCACCTCTTTCAGAGAATTGCATTTGGGTAGAAGATAAATTGGGTGAGCTGGACCTTTGGGGTCTTTTGATGGATTCTTTGTGCAAAAATCTGAGTTGGGAAATGGCATAAATGTTATCGATGGAACTGAAACCGCCGTCATTTATTGAAACGATATGATTGGAATCTTGTTTCCGTTTTCTTTCTGGAAGGAGAGGGCTGCTATGGCTGACAGTGAGAGGAAGAAACACAAAACAGATAGAAGATATTATGAAATTGTCTAAATATCTTTGTACATTTTATTTTTGAAAATAGGACACTAAAACAAGTATTATAAAAATATGTTTAAAATTATTAATAATAATTACCGAGTCCATTACAATATAGTATTTGTTCATAAATACATCTCCATTGAGTCTCGAACTCACAATTTTTTATATAGGAGTCCAACCCGGGTACTATATGTGCATAAAGTGCTTGGCTCTTAAATTTTATGTCAATATTTACAATAATACAATTGGTTGACAAAAGTTAATTGAGTTTGAAGAGTGGAGATCTAGAAGTTAATTAGGTTCAAATTAGGGAAAAGTGTCAAATTAGCCCGCTAAGTTAAGTGGATAGTGCAATTGGGTCCCCCTAAGTGAAAAAAAAGCTTCATTCAAGTCCTCTAAACTGGTAAAATTGTTCAATTAAGTCCAATATTACTTGTTTATCAGGTTAAATCGATATCGTGTTGACACGTATCTTTCTTATTTTTATTTTTTTTAAAAAAAATGTTTTTTATTTATAAAAAATATCATTTATTATTAATTAATTAAAATAATAATAATAATTAAAAAAAAAAAAAAAAAAAAAATAACCACCGGCTGTTCGCGCCGGAGAGCCAGTGGCTGTCTTCCTTCTACATGGACGACCGTGAAGAAGGCGAGTCGGTTGCGAGTTATGCGCGGAAGCGGCAGAGGGGGATTTGTGTTTTGAGCGGGAACGGGACGGTGAACAACGTGACGCTGCGGCAGCCTTTGTGACGCTGTGGCAGCCTTCGTGACGCTGTAGGAGAGGTTTGAGATGCTGTCGTTGTCGGGGTCGTCCCTGCCGCCGCCAGCACCGCCAGGGGCCACCAGCTCGACGATTTACCTAGCCGGGAGCCAAGGGCAAGTGGTGGGAGGGAACGTCGTGGGGCCGTTAATGGCGTCCGGATCGGTCATCGTCATCGCCGCCTCCTTCACCAATGTGGGGTGGTGTTTTTTTAAAATTTTTTTTAATAATAATTATTATTTTAATTAATTAATTTATAATAAATAAATTTTTAATTTTTAAAAAATAAAAAACATTTGTTTTAAAAAATAAAGTAAGAAGGACACGTGTCAACACCATATTGATTTAACCTAATAAACAAGTCATATTGGACTTAATTGAACAACTTTACCGGATGACTTGAATGGAGCGTTTTTCACTTAGGAGACCCAATTGCACTATCTACTCGACTTAAGTGGTGAATTTGACACTTTTTCCTTCAAATTATGATTGGAGTTCATGTACAAGGGATGGTGTCAAAGTATGACATAACTTGAAGTTTAGAGGGTTGAACTGTAAAAGTCGAAAAGATATGGTCAGAAGTGAGACAAGAAAGAGAGTATTAGGGGTGGGGGGATGAGGGGGAGGGGGGAGTGGAGTGTAAATGCTAGAGGGGTGAGATTCGAAGTGGGACATGGCAACCTAGCCATACCCGAATAGGGTCACATTGTGTAGTCTCGCCCAGGCATAACTCGCGGCCACACCCCATCAGGCGGTTAGTGAACATGGCTCACCTTGCATCATGTCGACACTTGTGTGGCTCCCAAATTGTTTACGAAATGCGGTTAGTGCAAGATGGACGAGAAGTACAAGGCGCTTCATTTTTTATTTTTTATTTTTTGAAAATTTTGAGTGGTCTAATGAAAATTTTCACCTATAAATATAGGGCTCCTTCCAAGTGTTTGGGGCATTAGCTTCTTCATCCCCACTATCTATCTCCTCTACCCCTTCAACTTCTCCATCTAATATTGTATTATGTAGTAATTATGAGGAGGTGGTTATTATGATGTATGTATTGAGAAAATGCAATATTGATCGATGAGATTGTGGCCTGCAGACTGCAGTTCCATGAGTTAAAGTTTTTCTTCTTCAATTCTCTCCCTTATTTCTTTGTTTAATTTCTTGATGCATGGCATGTTCTTGATTATTTTACAACATGGTTAAACTAATAAAGCACAAATACAGAGTCAAATCAAGTTGACTTTTATTTGAATGAATTAGGTTCCAAACCAATCTGGAATGTTAAAGAACAATTAAATTTAGAATATTATCTAAAATTTTAAAAAATATACACAACTAACACAAGTATTATATATATAGATCTTGACGGATGTGGGCGGTATTGCGTTAGACATATATCTAGAAAGATGTGAAATTGTGTGCAAATTAATTGGCAATAAATATGGATGGCATTGATTTGACGTGATACATTTTGTGTGCAAATTAATTGGAAACAAACACTCAATATTAATGAAACACAGAAAATAATCAAAATATTAACACTCCATAAAATCCCAACTTTAAAAAAAAAAAAAATTGCAATTTGTTGATCAAGAAGAAAGGCATAATATAATCACACACTCGCAACAGATGAAATGAGGGTTATTGAAATCCTATGGTGCCATGCATGCAGCTTTTTTTTATTAAGGCTTATCAGTACAGTACTAGCTATAAAAATGGCAAGTTACGTTGTTTCCTTTCCATGGCTAGAATGAGGGGAACTCGATGGTGGAAGCACACTTTCCATTAGGGAAAGTTGGACACTCGATCAACCCAGAAGCCGATGAATCCACGCACAGATAAACCTGGTATAGCTGGCTGTTCCCATCTGCATCGTTATTGCATTCTATCCATGGAGTGTAATTAATCGCGCTTTTAATCGCATCTTTTATGTCACTTAAACTGTAAGAATTTCCATCCGGCGTGATTCCTGTAATATTTTACAAAATTCATCACATCTATGCCCTTTAGTCTGACTCTGATACCAAATTGAAGCGTGCTTCATTTCAACTAAAAGCCTAAGCTGATTGTTGGATGGCACATTAATGGTTATTGCTCAATAGTCTTTACTCAATCTGTCACCCAAAAATCAATCGAGCTACCAAGGGTCCCACACCCGAACTAAAAATGATTTAAATTGATAAATCACTATAACTTAATGACCTATTAGGTGGCAGGACCATGTGCTCATAAGAAGCCACCCCCACCCCAAAAAAAGGGTGAAACTCGTACATTGGTTAGGGCTCGATCCTTTATCCTTGTCAACAATCTATCACCCAGGAACTAATTGAGGTATCTGTGCGGGCTCATCATCATAATCAATCTATATATGACTGGATTACAAGGTGGTTGAAAAAGGGAATTTGGGCAATTACCTGCATCCTGAAGAGCTTGAAGGAGGTTGGTTTTCTTCTTGAGGTCTAATGTGGTCTGGAAATAGGCATGTTGCTCCAGAACTGACTCAGAACAAGTACCATGTTTTTCCCATTCATGTGTCCAGAATTCTATGCCATCGCCACTTGGGCAAGCAAGGGTAGGCCAGTCTTCTTGCATTCTACTGATCAAGTCTGAGACCTGCAAATTTACAGTTGGATATATACCCAGAATTCGAATCTTGAAATTTAAAAGATTTTTAAGGAATTGGAAACCTTACCTTGGATTCATCGAAAGGGTTGTTGGGATCACAGTTTAAGGGATAACTGCCGTCTTTGTAGTTAGGCCACAGTCCATGAACGCCAAAATCCGAGTCAGGCTTCCCTGTTTTTGGGTAACAACAGCTCTTTTTAGTGTCACAGTAGGATCCTGGCCACTGCATCCAAAATCAAACGTTACATATACCAAATCTATCACGATTTTATTTGATTTAATTTACTCGTGATGGACCGATTGACATACCTGTTGCACAAAGTAGAAGAAATCGAAATCTTGAGCGATACAGAGAACCGATACCCATTGTGCAACCAACAAGAATTTAATCAAGGCTGAGCTCTGAAATTTGATTGTCATTGTTGCACTTTTTTGACATCTATAGTGCTGGACTGGTGTTGGGTATGAATTTATAGGCTTAAATTCATAGGTTTTAATCATAAATAAATGGTGAAGACAACCTGCGGCCAGCAAAGGATTAGTACTAAATGGTAATAATGTAGTAATAATTACAATTAATATTGGGGAGTGGGGATATTCCCACATTATTCTCTTGAGTTTCTATTTTTCCTTCATTTTTTTTTTTTTACTTAATTAAGCTTCTTTCTTTTCCAATCTCCTAACATAAAATAAATTAAAGAATGAAGTTACTCCGTATTTTATTTCTAAAAATAAATATCAAAATCAAACTATATAATGTTAACATATTGAATTTATTAGCACCATCAATATTATATAAAGTATAATTGGTAATAAATAATCGTCCCATTTAATAATGGTATATAATGAGTTATTATCCGTATTCACATTTGTTGTGGATATAATTAAATTATTAGGAAAATTTCTAAAACATTATATATATAGCCCGTACTAAAAGTAAAAAGAAAATCTTGGTAAATTATATTTTTCATTTTTTAATTATAGAAATTTAGTGATTTGCATTCTTCCTATAGAAAAAATTTATTTTTTTCCTTATTAAAATAGCTCATAATAATGGTGCGCTCCTACAAAATTAAGGTTATTCTAACGTTACAATTACATTAGTGTCTAAAGAAATCGTTATGCTATGGATCCGTGTCCAACATACATTGTGGACACGGTAACGGTGCCGTTAGTGATACCGTTATCTTTTACCATTTTTTTAAAATTTCAAACCGCTTCGTTAAGGAGCATATACTCATAATTTTATTACTATATGTTCATAATTGTAAGTTCATAATGTCAGAGCTCTGTGTTCATAATTCTATAACTGTACATTCATACTTCCATAACTGTACATTCATAATTCCGTAACTGTACATTCATAATTCAATAACTGTAAATTCATAATTTTCAAAGCTTTATGTTCACAATTTTAGAGCTCTATGTTCATAATTTTATCACTATATGTTCATAATGTCAGAGCTCTGTGTTCATAATTTCATAACTGTACATTCATAATTCCCTGTACATTCATAATTTTCGAAGCTCTATGTTCACAATTTTAGAGCTCTATGTTCATAATTTTATCACTATATGTTCATAATTGTAAG